AAAAAAACTAAAGACATACCAATGTGAACATTCACACTACAACGAGAAATCATAAACAAAATTGAAAAAAATGAAAATTGACTATTTCAAATGTTCAATAGTAACAAAAAATGATTGTCCAACTAATAAGCATAGTAACAAAAACAACATGCAACTAACCTTCAAAAAAATAAAATTTATACCAAAATACAATGTAAATGTTCACAATTAACATACAATTAGACTTAAAAAACTAAACTCATACCAATGTGAACATTCACACTGCAATGTGAAAGCACGAAACAAAATTGAAAAAAGTCTAAATTGATTGTTTTGATTGTTCAATAGCAATAAGAATGATTACTCAACCAACAAAGTATACTAACAAACAATATACAACAAATCATCAAACAATATATAAAAAAATTATCAAATAATTCATATCTATTAACACATCCTTTTAGAAAAATCTGTATATAATCAACTCTTGCAAATGTAAAAAAATTTAACTTTTCAAAGAATATCAAATTTTCATGTTCAAACTTGTGTTTCCGAACAAATAACCAATGTTTGGGGCTGTGTTCCCGAAGAAATTACTAATGTTTGGGCCTGTGTTCCTGAATTTCGATCATATGTTCGGGAGTTCAATTCTGAAAAAATAACGAACAATTTTATTATTTTTGTCATTTTTTTCAAAAAGCTTACTCTTACAAAGTCAATCTCCTCTAAACTAAGAATACCATCAAAGCTATGAACGTCCTTTGAACTTTTATTGTTGTACTCCTCCCGTATCATGGAATTGTGATTACTGGAAAAACTTTCACTCATTATCATTGCTGGAGAAATGTAAATAATCAAATGGTAACCACCATTATTGTCGGAATGTTGTCACCAAAGGATTTTCAAGGTTTTGAGGATGGGTAGGTGTTGAAGGTGGGATTTGGAAAAGATGGATGGGTGGTAATGGAGGTAAGTGCTCTCATAAACCCTAATTCATGATGTAGTATGTGTGTAGTCTTAATTATGAGATGAGTCGTCCCAAAATTATTGATATCCTTTTTAATAATTTCATTTGAGATTATTATTGTAATAAAAAAAACTAAAAAATAAGAAGTCTAAAACAATTAATGAGATGCTAATAGTAACACTCGTGGAAATAGAGCATCCCCACAGTGGACCTAATGTATAGTGTGAAATTACCATTTTGCTCTTTTCAAACCTTATGAAATCATTTGGATAAATTACACTAACAAGATTTGAAAAAATTAAATTATAAGTAATCACAAAATTTTGTATCTTAAATTTTAAATTTACATAACAAATTGATCCATGCCATTAAAGAGATTTTTTTTTTTTTCGCTACAACGGAAAGAAACCATTAAAGATTTATTAATATTCATTTCTTCCTATTTGTTTATGTTAAGCAAAATATATAATTAAATGACCATAACAACCCCACCCTCACTTCACCACTGCACTATCACACGACCCGCTATATCCTCCCTCTTCAACACCTCACCAAAAATCCCATCCACCTCCTGTTTGCCTCCGAGCACCGCCTCTCTTCCCCCAAATTGTTATGCAAGAAACTGTGAACTCAAAAGTTGCGTTTTCAATTCATATTCCCAAGTATTGAACTAGTAAAGTGGCTATTAAACAGCAGATGAATACTTTTCTAACATTTTTCTTATTTACATGATTTTTTTTTTTTAATTTTGTTTTTGTAAAAAGGGAGATACCTTATGATGAAGATCTTATATTTTTATTGAAATCTACAATGATGATGACTTTTATATGTATAATGAAAAATAAAATCAATAAATAACTTTTTTATTTGTATTTAATAGTTGATTTCATGAAGTTAACTATCAAACTAATGTCATTTAATTCGAAATTGATTTACTGAATAAAATAATGCTAAAAAAGAACAATTTTAAGCATAAAAACTTACAAATTTGTTGTCAACTTTGTCGTAATCAATGTCCTTCTCAAAATATGAGTTTTTATCTTTTTAATCTTCCATAACAATTACGAAGGATTCAAATAATAAACTAATGTGAGTTGGGTAAGAACAAATGTAAAAGATGAGTGAAAAATAATGGAGAAACTTATGTCCATAAAACTAAGTTGAGTGAGAAACAATTGAGAATAAAATTAGGGTTTAATTCTAAAGATGTGTACAAAGAGTTCTTTAATTCTAAAAATGTATAATATGAAAATTTCAATTTGAAGTAGGATTGTATACTTTTGTTTATATTAGTAAAATTGTAATACAAAATTTATTCATTAAGTGTGTCTACATAGAGTAAATAATGTGTAGAGATGAGTGCTGTTATTAGCACCCCATAAATTATTTTGAACTCTCTAATTTTTAGCTTTTTTTATTACAATAATAACATCAAATAAAATTACTACAAATAGCATCATTAATTTTGGGTCATCCCATCTCACAATTAAATCTACACGCCCACTACATCATAAATTAGAGTTTATGAGAACACCCACCTCCATTACCACCCATCCATCTTTTCTAAATCTCAACTTCAAAACTTACCTATCCTCAAAATCTTGAAAATCATTTGGCGGCAATATTCTGGCAATAACGATGGCAACCATTTGATTACCTACACTTCTCCGACAATGACAATAAGTAAAAATTTAAGGATAAGTTTGGTAGCATATTAAGATTAAAGTCGTATTAAAATGCTGAAATGATTTTTATCAATTTAAATATGAAATAGAGAGTAATAACAGAAGCAAATCTCATATTTTGTTGCCTCAAAAATAAACCCTAGTTCATGCAGCAATATTATCAATCTGCATCACATTTATTTATTTAATCTTATTATTCACTGATCCATGAGTTTTCTAGGCTCTTTTCAAGGCAAGGAATTGTTTAGAAAAAGCATTTCAATTCTCTTCTAAATTGCATGTACTAAAAATTCACAAAAGATCGACAAACTCTCTTTTAAAAAAGATTAAATAAATAAATAAATAAGTTTTGATTTTAAATGACAAAAACAACATGAAGAAATTGTCAAATGCTAGACCAAGTTTTGGAAAAGAAAAAAAAAATCCACACAATAGCAGATGGGAAAAACCACCACAAAATCCAAATTTAAAAAAACTTATTTTTGGGGGAGTGGGGGTATGCATTCAATGGGTGGAATGTTTAAAGATAATTTTGATATTATTTGGAGGGGAAAGAAATTTTAAGAGTTTCAAAATTTATAAGTAGGGGTCTAAAGAAATAGATGTCGAAAATAATTCATGAAATGTTAATAGCACCACTCTATAGAGATACTCCATTTCTTATTATCTCTCTATATTTGGAGGATCAATCCATGCTCTCCTCCCAAATGGAGATGATTTTAGAGGATGTGTTGGAAGTAAAAATAAAATATATGAAGATGTAGATGGTGAGCTGAAAATGCCCTAACAAAGTTGTTATAGTTGGAGAAATTTTAATTCAGGAATAATTTTAAAAAATAATTACAAATACAGAACAAATTTTATAAATATGAATAATTAAAAATATAAATTTATAATAATTTTTTTCAACTATAATCTATAATTTTCTCATTATAATTTAGCAATAACAATTACGGAGTTGTAGAAAAAAAGTGTTTTTATTTTCTATCAAACTTTTCTTTTAAAGTCGTGCGAGCTAGCTGACACTCAAGCAAGGAAATGAGTAAAAAAGTAGCAAACAAACTTGAGTGCAAAATGGGCCTTTGAGAATGAGATTTTTTTATTTTTTTTTAACAGCATTGAGAATGAGATTGATTTCTGTATGATTATGATTTCAACGGTAGAGAGTTTCAAACTGCTCCTTAATTCTCTCTCTCTCTCTCTCTCTCTCTCTCTCTCTAATATTGCTCTGTTTCATACATTCCTTCCTGGGATCTTTTGCAGCAAAGACGAGTAGACATGGAAGTGGTGGGAATCTTCGTCTCTCCCTTGCTAAAAGCTGTGATTAACAAGTTGTTGTCCTCTGATTTAATCAACTTGCCACGTCAAGGGGATGTCGACACTTCCATCAAGAAGCTGAAGAAGTCATTTGAAGATATAAACGATGTTCTTGCTGATGCAGAGGAGAAGCAGATATCCAAGGAGGCTGTCAATAAGTGGCTGAAAGAGCTCCAGCATTTGGCTTACGATGCGGACGATGTGCTGGACGAGTTTGCCACTGAAGCTCTACGCAAGAAGCTGATCATGGCGGAGACTGGTGCTGATGCTGATGTTGGTGAGGCCAGCACAAGTAGGAAGGTACGACGATTCCTCCTTCCTACTTGTTGCACTGGTTTTACTCCACGTGCGATTTCATTCAATTTCGCAATTGGGTCCAAGATAAAGAAGATCAATGATGAGTTACAAGATGTTACTACAAGAATTAAGGAACTTGGTTTGGTCAAAAAGGCTATTGGGGGGACTCATAAGCCTACAAATGCGTGGCCGAGACGAGAAACCACATATTTGCTGGATGATCCTTTTGTTTGTGGCAGAGATGAAGATAAAAAACGGATTGTTGATTTGCTTCTTAGAGATACACTAACTCAAAACAAAGTCGATGTCATTCCCATCACCGGCATGGGTGGGATTGGCAAGACTACTCTGGCTCAACTCATTTGCGATGATAATGGTGTCAAAAACCAGTTCGATCTGAAAGCGTGGGTTTGTGTACCTGACGAGTTTGACGTTACGAGAATAACAAAGGCAATTCTGGAGTCATTCACTCTCGATTCATGCAATTTGACAGAGTTAAATGCCCTTCAACGTAAACTTCAGGACACACTGGCAGGAAAAAAGTTTTTGCTTGTCCTAGATGATGTGTGGAACCATGAAGGTGAAAAGTGGAGTTCACTACAATCTCCATTTCGAGCCGGAGCACATGGAAGTAAAATCATTGTGACAACGCGAATCACGACTGTTGCGCAACAGGTGGGTACAACTGAACACCACGATTTGAAAGAGTTATCACCTGATGATTGCTGGTCAATCTTTGCCCAACATGCATTCAAGAATATAAATATTAGTGAACATCCAGAATTGGAATCAATTGGTAGGCATATTGTTGCTAAGTGTGGAGGCTTGCCACTGGCAGCAAGGGCCCTCGGTGGCTTATTACAATGTAACCAAAATGAGCATGAATGGAAAATGGTACTAACTAGCAATATATGGGATAAATCATACGAGGAAAGCCGCATTCTCCCATCACTGAAATTGAGCTATCATCATCTCCCTTCCCATTTGAAGAGGTGCTTTGGTTATTGTGCAATTGTCCCAAAGGATTACGAATTTGAGGAGGATGAATTAGTCTTGTTATGGATGGCAGAAGGTTTAATTGAACACCCAGCAGATGGAAAACAAATAGAAGATGTAGGCCGCAAGTATTTTCGCGAATTGGTGTCTAGGTCATTTTTCCAATTGTCAAGGCATAATAAATTGCTATTCATAATGCATGACCTCATCAATGATTTGGCTCAAGCAGTTGCAGGGGACATCTGTTTTAGGTTGGAGAATAATTTAGAGGGTGGCAAGCAGAACAAGATTTCAGACAAAGCTCGACATTCATCTTATGTTGGTAGCCAATATGAAGGAATCAGAAAATTCAAAGCTTTCAATGATGCCAGATGCTTACGAACCTTCTTAGAGTTTTTGCCAAGTAGATTCTTCAACTACAAAACAAGGTACTTGATTCATGATCTGTTGCCAGTGTTAAAGTGCTTACGTGAGTTGCGTTTGTGTTATTCTGGGATAGACGAACTACCAGATTCCATTGGAGATCTAAAGCATCTACGGTACCTTGATGTATCCCATTCTCGAATTAAGAAGTTACCCGATTCGGTGGTAACTCTCTACAATTTACAAGTCTTGTTTTTGAAATTTTGTGTTGAATTTCAGAAGTTGCCTCTAAACATGGGGAGGCTAGTGAACTTGCGCCATTTTGACATGACTGGCGTGCATATTCCATCATCAGAAGAGATGTCACTACATATAGGTAAATTAATTAATCTCCAAACATTGTCAAATTTTATGGTGGGTAAAGATTGTGGGCGTAAAATAGGAGAGTTGAAAAACCTATCACACATTCGAGGGGCAATATACATATCAAGAATGGAGAATGTCAATGGTGTTAAGGATGCAGTGGATGCCAATTTAATGTCTAAGGAGGAGTTAAAAGAGTTATCACTAGAATGGGATGAATCTCATAGTTCACACAATGACATAGTTGAGAGGGATGTGCTTGACGTGATGAAACCTTTCAAATTGTTGGAACGACTCACCATCAGTGGGTATAGCAGTACAAAATTTCCAAACTGGGTTGGAGATGTTTCGTTCTCTAAAATGACGTTCATGCAATTAAAAGGTAGTAAATGTTGCACATCTTTGCCACCACTTGGACAGCTACCCTTGCTTAAAGACCTTTACATTGAAGGAATGAGTGCAATAAAGCAGCTGGGTTGTGAGTTCTATGGGAAGCAGCATGGTGCCAAACCATTCCCCTTTCTAGAGACACTAAGCTTTGTAGATATGCCAGAATGGGAGGATTGGTCTGCTTTTGAAATAGAGGGAGTTCAGCCGTACCATCGGCTCAGTGAGCTTTCGATCATAAATTGTCCCAAACTTGTTGGAAGATTACCAAATGATCTTCCTTGTCTCAATTCTCTCAAAATTGATGGTTGTCCAGAATTGTTGATTGATGTTTCGAGCCTCGTTCAACCATCACTTGCGTTCTTGTCCATGACTAATGTTACGCTCCCAAGCCTTCCAGCACTCTTAGGGACGAAGAACACGATTGAACTTGGTTCCCTCACCTTGGATATTAGCCATGTTACAGTTCTCGACTCCCTCAGCAATCCAAGCACAACTGATGAAGAGTTACTGGCTAATGAAATGTCTAAGCAATTGACTTCAATAACTGCTTTGCGAATTTCTCATGTTGAAAAACTGGTGTTCCTACCGACATGGTTTACTCAAGATTTGACGCGAGTCGAGAAATTGGACATTAGTAACTGCCAAGAACTCAAAACATTGTGGCGGAATAAGGTGGGAATACAAGTATGTCTCCCTACCCTCTGCCATTTGAAGATTTCTCATTGCCCCAACGTCGTTTGCTTGTTTGAAAAAGAGCAAGAAAAAAGAGGAGAAGGTTCGAAAAAGCAGCAACATGAGGGGCTGCCTTGCATGACGAGACTCGAGTATTTAACAATTGAAGAGTGTGGAATGCTGAAGATACTGCCACAAGATCTGCACACATACACATCTCTTGCGGTGCTTAGAATTGATGGTTGTGCAAATCTGATGTCTTTTCCAATGAAAGGTTTGCCATCTATGCTGAGAGAACTAAGCATTTCAATGTGTAATGCTTTGACGTCCCTACCCGAGTTGATGAAAGTCAATAATCTGCAAGAGTTGCGGGTTTCTTACTGTGCATCAATCACATTTTTATTGTCAAGAGGTGGGCTACCATCCACACTAAAACAACTTGAGATTGGGCAGTGTGAAAATCTGGAGTCACTTTTTGCAGAGGAAGGGATACAAATTGATTGGCCATCTCTTGAAACTATTTGTATCGAATTTTGTCCGAATCTGAAGTCCCTGTCACGTGGTGGTCGTGATGAGAACAGCAACATCAACCAACTCACTTCTCTTCAAAAGCTGGGTTTAGTTGATTGCAGAGCAGAGATGGTCTCCTACTTTGTCAAGGAAGGGAGTTTCCCCACCAACATCACTTCACTTGAAATCGGGAGGTTCAGAGTAGACGACGTGGGTCAACTTCCAGTTCCGCCTCCATCTCCATTAGAGTGGGGTTTGCACAAACTCTCTTCTCTTACAACACTCGAACTTGTAGGCTTACATGGGCCGTGGGGAAATACGGTGTCCTTTCCAGAAGAAGGGATGCTCCTGCCCACCTCTCTCATCAATTTGACCATTTGGAACTTCCGAAATCTGGAAAGATTCTCTTATGAGGAGTTTCAAAACCTCACCTCTCTCCAAACACTTAATATCAGGAATTGCCCTAAGCTCGCGTCCTTTCCAAAGGAAGGGTTGCCTCCCTCTCTTTTGCATCTATTGATCTTGGAGTGCCCTGAGCTTGCGACCTTTCCAAAACAAGGCTTCCCTCCCTCGCTTTTGTCACTGGCGATCTGGGGATGTAATCCAATACTGAAACAGAAGTGTGAAAAGGGGAAAGAATATTGGCCCATCATCCAATACATTCCTCAAGTATATTTAGAATGGTATTAAGCAGCCAACTGCAAGGTACAAACAAACAAACACAAATTCTGTCATACCATTTTTATTTATTTATTTTCTCATTACCAATATCATCTCAGATTTTTATCACTACTGAGAGTTTACAATCTACTTCTCTTGGATCACAAGAGAGTTCCAGTTTGTTGTGAATGTTGAAATTACCAATACATTACTGATTAATTAAACACACTGCTCTCATTTTCAATTCATTCTTTGTCTTTTCCTTTCAAATATTTCCTTTTCTCTCAATTTTCCCATAATAATGAATGGATAATTTTCATTCTCATTTGTTATTTTATCTTGTATTATTCATAAGTGCTAATAGAAAAATTGCCCTATTCATTTTGACAAGAGTATGGTTATGACTTTTGAAAAGAATTTTGAATTGTGTTTGGTTAAGAGTTTTAAACATAGTTTTTGAATTGTGTGTTTGATTACGAGTTTTCAAATTTTTTTGATTAGAATCACAATTCCAAAAGTAAACCAAATGCAACTTATTTTTCTATAAAATGTTTTCTCTAGAAAATGATCTCCTATGTTTGATTGCAACTTGAAACTAATGTACTAGTGGTTGCATTAGCGGTGGCATTAGTTGGGATGGGGGGGGTGGCGGCGGCAACAACGGTGGTGGTGGTGGTAGTGTGGTAGTGTTGGCAAGACTTTAGACCAAAAAATGTTTTACACTTCGGGAAAAAAATTTCACCTTCAAAAGTGTAAAGCATTTTTCACTCAAAAAGGCTTATTTTTTATTGACCATAGAAAACATTTTCCATTTAACTTTCATTTTCTATCATACTAACCGCCATAAAATGTGACAAACATTTTTCCAAAAAGCATTTTCGGCCAAAACAAACAAAGCATAAGAGATGAATTTTTTTCTAGGTTTAGCAAATATTTTGTCAAAGGGGTGGCTATTGATGATTGTTTGGTTTCAAGTTTATGTATCAAGTTTGTTCCCCAGTTTTTACTCACCCTGAGCTCAATTCATGCATAATCAACTGCCATTTTTCTAAAATTCTATTTGTTCCCACATTAATTCATCCATGTTTAAGTAAACAATAGAATCCTTGCACTTTTGTTCTGCAAGTACCTGAATGGAAGGAAAAATTTTACTTCTGCACCATGTTTCAGTTATATTTCAAGTTTGCATTTTTGTTAGGACATTAAGAGAATCTTTATTTTACTATTGTGCATTTAACATGCATTCCATCTCATTCTGAAAAAAAATGCATGTATAAGCTTTGAACTTTATAAATCTGGTTTTTTGAAGTCTATTGAAAAGTATAGCATCACTTTTTGATACTCTTCACGACAATAACTCACTCAAACATAATTCTTCTATTGTTACCATCATTGTAATTTCGAGTTGTTTCAGGTTCTAGCTTTAGTAGATTTGAAATTTACTGATGATGAGCTTATGCATAAATTTTGAGTTTCAGATTTTAGGGTCTTTGCTTAGAATGAATGGCTGGCAGACTGAAGAATTTTATTATCCTTAAAAGACAACAATGCTTCTCTCCCAAACCGTGTAAGTGACAATCTCTAAAGATGTGGAGCTCATCAATCATCCAAAATCTTAGTCACTATGTTCATGGTCTTCCATGTTCACCTATGGATGACAATCAAAATCTACTCTATAGGTTGTGATGGTTCACTTCACTTTAGGAATAGATTAGTTCTCTAATTCATCCTTGTCACCAACTCACGCAAAATATTTTTTTTTCCAGGTTCTTCATTCACAATCCGAGCTAGAAGGTGCCTTTTCTCTTGATCTTTCATTTTTCCTATACTGCTGCTTCAATTCCAGGTAATTGGCAGACAAAATTTCCTTTGTCTTTAATTTCATTGTGTTATCCATTTGGAGTCCATACCATGGCTTCTAGTTTCATTTCAATAGAGTTAGAATTATGTATTCCACTTTTCCAATTTTTTGGACTTAGTTGGGACACGAAAATTTGGTGTGTCGCATTTATGCAGAACATATAGCAGTGCCAGAGACAACATAATGTATCATATCCATGGCAGCACGGAATATATTTTGGGAAAATTAATCTATTACATCAACAATTGAAATGCGACATATGATGTATTAGCTAGCTTTATAATGTTTCCAATGGCTACAAAATAAATGGTTCAGTAATTTGTATTAGTTTGAGTTATTTATTCTTTTTTGAAATTGCCAAGACGAGAGCTAATGAGTGGTTCCATTTCACTTGGAATGCTGATATTGTTTTTCATCTGCTTCATGAGTACGTTCGCCTACTCCACCAAATACAAATACACCTCCATGAGCGTCGAGAATATTTTTAACCCTAAAGAGGACAACTTCCTCAGTTTGTTAAAACCTGCCGTTGTAGCTTGTAAAACTGTGCTTTTCTGTATTTTTTCAATGTTTTGTTGAAAATTTAAATAGAAAAATGTACTGACTATTGTCATTACCTTTTTGTTCTCAGGGCTTTGTTGTTGTGGAAACAAACTTTAGGATGTATGCACGCTCATCATCTAAACTGCACTGCAAGTTTTTGTGCCTCTTCTCAAGGTATGCCAGAAATTTGCATGATAAGTACTTTGGATAATGTAGAAAACTCTCATAGGTAATAAACGAATAAGAGACAGGAAAAAAAAAATCGAAAAAGGAGATAATTGAGAAGAAGTCCTTTCCATGATTGAAAAAACGTCCCTCCAGCACACTCCTAGGCAAGACTTTTGATCATTTAAATTTCCAGACCTTGCAAAAATCACTTTGTGTTTTTGAGCCTTTCTCCTTGCATGCTATTTTACATTAGACAGTTAGGAAGCCACCTTATCTGGTCAAAATCCATGTGGGCAATCCATAGTTACTTTGTCTCCCCAAAAATGTCAATATGGAAGAACTGGTCATTTCATGTTTTACTTAATAGAGTAGCTAAGACTTTACAATAATAGTTAATAAAATGATGAAGTTTGGTCCTTTTTCCTTTAAGTGAGCTTGAGTTTGGTTGCTAATTTCAATTTATCTGTTATTAAGCAAATTCACTTGCCTTCTCATCTCCACTACAATTGTGTTCATGTATATTACTTTGAACCTCTTATCAACTTATGGTTTTGTTTCCTTATATTGCAGGTAGCTGTTGAGGATGCTTGAGACTTTGCACAACAATATGGAGGTTTGTCATGGGAAAACTTTAAAAAAAAAAAAAATGCTAGTACAGGTAGAAATACCCATGCACATCTAACAATTCCCTCGTCGTCAAAGGCAATAGATTTTGTGTGCAATCTCCAAGAAAGGGTTTGAAGGGATTTGAATGTTTGGTGTGTGATGATTTGGAAAGTTTGACGGATTCCACGCCGATGTAAAGTTTTCTCCCTTATTGATGAAAGCACTGGTGTCAGGAATGGAATGAAGCTCTCATCACATGGTGCTTTTTGGATTTTGAAGCTGAGTTGATATGTAAAATCCCTTTTTTCCCAAGGCTTGCTAATGACATACTGGTTTGGCACTTTACTAAAAATGGCCTTCTTTTTTTCTCTTAATCAGCATATTATTGGGAGATGGATTTGCAAAGAAGAGAAACACGGTTCAGTTCTTCAGATGGTAAGCAGCAGATCGTAGCTACCTAAAAAGGAATGAGTTTTTAATGGGCATTTTGGTAGAAGATTTAGCTGCTGAAAGTTCTGAATAAAGTGAAAATGTTTGGATGGAAAATCTATTCGAATATCCTTCTTGTTCAATGAAACTTAAGTACGTGCAAAGTAATTCAATTTGATGACTGCTAACTTGTACATTAGTGGCAAATTAGAGATGTTTTTGGTGGTTTGAGTAAGCTTACAATGTGATTGACAATGTTAGCATTGTAGTCATTCACTTCCACACCCAACACAATTTGTGGATCAATGCAGTTCTTGGCCCTTTTTAAGTCTCTTGACACATCTTCATTTGTAACTCTGCTTAGGTAGCTGATTTATTAGAATTTGACTTTCTTCTAGTCTTTGCCACAAGGGCCTCAGTGTTCACATGGTATTCACTTTTCAAGAGCATTCTTGAGAGACAATATGTTTTGTTACTTGCTCATATAAATGATGTAGAAGCACAATTACTTGAACAAAGTTCTGATCCTGTATTCAATTTGATGTTCTGAGGCAAAATGCTAGTTTGGCACTTGGAACATAATACCTACCTGCCCCCCCCCCCCCAAAAAAAAAAAAAAAAAAAAAAAAAAAAAATTCCTATTGAGTGAAGTATAAAATTGTCTAAAGGAAAAAGACGAAATATGTATACGTGGACATACATAATATATATGTGTGTGTGTGTGTGTATTCAAAGCCTTAATCTCATTTATCTCTTCTAATTTCTTCCCATTATTGTCATAATGGCTGATAATATTATTCCTCAGTCTATGGCTATCAACTTTAATTTTATTTTGGCATTGTAGTTGTGGAATGATTCTTTTGCAACATACGGATTAATATAATGTTGAAGTGCCTCTTGTTTTTCTATAGCTATATGGAGAGTTAAAACACGTGGATCTAATTTAGTTTCTCTTTGGTTCTAATGACTCTCAAACTAAAGTTAAAGTTAGAGTAGTGTTTTTTGTTCAATTTCCCGAGTCGAGTCTTTTAATTTTAATATTCATTCTCAACACTCAAACTAAAGTTAGAGTAGTGTTTTTTGTTCAATTTCCTGAGTCAAGTCTTTAATTTTAATATTCATTCTCAACACTTAGAGAATCTAATACTTGTTGAATTTTGAAAAATCTCCTTGATATGTCATGCTTCATCCAAAAATTCAAGAATTTGATAAGTTTTCTCAATTTAATTTCGGGCATTTAAAGTAACAACAGGAAACATTAGGACAATGATATTTAAAAACTTTAACGCACTAGGTATTATTAACTAGTTCTCTCTCTAACTTGTTGGTTTTTTTTTTCTTTTTGCATTTAAAAACATTAGGACAATGATATTTAAAAACTTTAACGCACTAGGTATTATTAACTAGTACTCTCGCTAACTTACTGGTCTTTTTCTTTTTTCTTGTTTTTCAGTCCAAGTAAGTCAAAACCCTTTAGCATTAAGGTCTTCTGTATGTAGTTCAACAACGCAACCACTGAACTCATGTATTGCAGCTCATCATGTAAAGATGTATGCCATTCCATTTGACTTATGCACTGCTCTTATGGACCACTTGTATTTTAGATTACTGCTTCCGCACTTGTGAGCTCCCTATATCTATACTCTGATTATGTGTGAATTTTGAAAGTTGGCCTTCGGTAACTACGGATTACTGGCCATCACGGCACCAAACTACTAGGGGCAGTTTGGGGTCGTGACACAAACGCACTCTAAGAATATCCTCATCCCAAGTGGGGGTAGGAATCATGTCATGTCATGTCGTGTCATTGCGGGTTTGTGTCTAAAACGCCCAACACTAACATGATACACTAAAATGATCCATTTAATTAAACGTGTCAAATATCATAACATTGACCTAACCTACTTGAGGTCGTGTCAATCCGAACATGACACGGCTAACATGATTAGTATTAGAATTTATTTTAGATTATAAGCAGTTAGTACAACCTAATTCAAGCAAACTAGTTTTAAATCACATACAAGGGTAACTTATTTAAATATTACACCCACAACATAATATATAGAAGAAAATACATTAAAGTGTGAATAAGTTAAAGTAATTGCACTTATATGGAGATCCAAGTCAGAGCAATGTGAGAAGTGTATCCCATGCCACATATTTCACGTGCAGCTCGTTACTCTTGTATCACTTTCATTGATTTTGTATGTTGGTAAGGTGATTGTGGGGGGAGTCATCACATTTGTCTTGATTTATGCAGTTTATGCATTTGTTGTTGCTGCAAATGAGATTTTGAGGAAACAAGCTCGGAGGTTGAATTTGGTTGTTGTTACATTGTTGTTTCTTGTCAAAGGAAGTGCATTCTCTCAAGGGAACCAAGAGGATGACTCTATCTATAGTACTTTGCTTGACATGGACAGAGAAAGTGATACAACCGTGTCCCGTAATGCATTGCCTAAGTAGATGTGGGTGTCAAATGTCGCAATATATTCAAATCAGTCAGCTAAGGTGTCTAACAATGAAAGGCATGTGTGGGGTTGGATTGATGATGGCATAGAAACTGAGCACTCGTCATTCTCATGTTCTAAACTATGTTCAATAATGGAGTTGCCTTTAAAAGTGCCACGCCGGTTGACAATTCCTCTAGTTGAGGAGGAATCTTAGTCAAAGGTCTCTACGCTGTAGGCAGTGCTTCACTTGCTCCCATTCTTTTGGCATTTCTCTGGAGTACTCAAGACTCTAGGTTCTAAAAGTAGAAAGGTTGCTTATATGCTTGGTGTTTCCATTGGTTGTGCACTCAGTTTTCTTGCATTTCGGTACACTAGATCACACCGTCCACCTTAGAAGTTTTTACTTCCATTGGTTTTGGGTGGATTTTTGATGAGCATTGTTTGGTTCTACATGATTGCAAACGAGCTTGTTGCTCTGTTGGTAGGATTAGGTGTAATTCTAGGGGTTAATCCATCAATCCTTGGATTAACTATATTGGCATGGGGCAACTCGATGGGTGATTTAGTGTCAAATGTTTCATTGGCAATGAATGGTGGAGATGGTTTGTAGATTACATTGTCTGGATGCTATGCAAGTCCGATGTTCAACACACTTGGTGGTTTGGGGATCTCAATGCTACTTGGAGCCTGATCAGAGAAACCTGGCTTGTACATTGTTCCACAAGACAGAAGCCTCTTCTATACTATGAGATTTCTCATCTCAGGACCTATCTGGGCACTTGTTGTTTTACCAAGGAATGATATGCGTCCTACCAGGAGGCTTGGAGTGGGCCTCATTGCCCTGTACTTGATATTTCTCCCTATTAGGGTAATCAATGCCATAGGAACCATATCATTGGCTGGTCGAAGTTAACATTTGATGTAGCGAATATTCAGGAAAAGCAGGTTAACAACAAATATTTTTGAAGAAGATGATGTGTATTTTGTAAACCCTGGCCGTGCTATGCATTGAGAAGTAAGCCCCAACTTGCTAGACATGGAAGTCAAGCAAGTCCTAGCCCTGCTAGGCATTCAAACATTAAAGCCCTAGCTTGCTAGACATAAAATTTAAATAAGCCGTAGCTTCTTAGGCATTCTTTATGAATTACATGGCTTGACTAGAGCTCTGGGAATAAAACCTATATCAGTTGGCATTCTTTATCAAGGGTCTTCTTCATAAAAAATTTGGCACCCGCTGGAAAGTCTAGCTAGAGACCTAACTTGGCTAGGCATGAGTCATGGTATCTACGTTACACGGACTATCTGTTTTGTGAGAGGTATCCGTGTCAACACGACACGACACGGGTATAGGTGCGGAATATGGCCGGGACGGCTAGATACAAACGGATACGGCTGAAACTCAAAGATGGGTTTTTTTGGGGGGGGGGGGGAAAAAAACCTTTTTTGGGTGGTTAAAATTAGTTGGATTTTTGTTTGTTTGGTAAGTAGTTGATTTTGTTACTTTTTTGAGTGGTTATGTATCTGTTTGTGATTAATTAGTCACCGTTATTTGTATAGTGTAGGCACCTGAATTTTCTATTAGGTGCAAAATCAAACTTCAAATTATAGTAGTGTTCTTTTGGCTTCCATTTCTGGTAAGTGTTATTTTTTTTTATTATAGTAGTGTTTATGTTTATTTGTATTATCTTCAATACCCGCTTGCTCACTTTGATCTTCTCTCTTCTCTCAAAATTTTGAATGAAATTTGTGATTTGAATATGTATATATATATATATTTATATATATGCAATTATGAAGTTAATAATCCAGATCTGAGTATATATTGCAGATATGAAGGGGTATGAGTTTTGGAGTGGCCCCTTGAATGAGTTTTGGTTTTGATTAACCTTGGATCTATTATATTGACTAATTGTTACTTTTTCCAGTGATGAAATTGGAGGACAAGCAAAGGTAGAAGGGTCAATAGTGTCCTTGGCTCAATGAGGTGTGTATATTTTGCAGTGTTTAATTGATTTATTTATATATATATAGTTGATTTTTTCTTGTTGCATTTCAAAATGGCAATTTTAATAAATTTGCACTAGCTTATAGATGGGTCACTCCAAAAGCATGAAGATCCGTAAATTCTATTAAAAAAAATTAAACTAAACAACATTTACTTTGTTTGGTTTTGAGTGATTTTGAATTTTCAAAAACAGCTCAAGTTTTTTTATTTTTTTTTTATATTTTTTTTTAGATGTACCTAACCTATATTTCAAAATGGCAATTTTAATAAATTTGCACTAGCTTATAGATGGGTCACTCCAAAAGCATGAAGATCCGTAAATTCTATTAAAAAAAATTAAACTAAACAACATTTACTTTGTTTGGTTTTGAGTGATTTTGAATTTTCAAAAACAGCTCATGTTTTTTTATTTTTATTTTTTATTTTTTTTTAGATGTACCTAACCTATATGCATCTAAAAAGTAAAATATTTGTAATTTTTTAAAAAAAAATTTAACAAATACAAAAAAAATTAAATATTCTGATTTAAATTTTTTTTTTTATGTAAGTGAATTTTTTAAATATTTTTCATAAATATTTTACTTTTGAAAGGTATCTAAGTATCTAGATTAAGTGAATCCACAAAGTAAAATAATTACATAAAATATTTTAAAAATTCACTAAAAAATAAAAATAAAAATAATTCAAAAACTATTTTTAATAATTGTTAATCAAACAAAGTGATTTAGACTTCTCAAAACAATAAATTGTGGATTTGTATTTGATGGAGTCTCTTAACTTTTTGATGAGATTAATTTATATTAAACAAAATATTGATAACATAAATAATTTTTTTTTTTAAATTTTTTTGATAGTTTGACGGGTTCCTCGGACCCCATCGGTTATTACGTGGAGTTGACCCTGAACAAGATATATCTCCACTATTTGGCAACGATGGTGGACGTTGATTGCATCAACGACTACAATTGAGGTGGCGCTACTCTAGTCACCCTCTATATATACGCGAATGCTGTCATGCGTAGCTGAGAGATGACCATCAAAGGGCATTAGAGATTATGGGAGGTAAAATGTACTACTTTATGTCATTTCTACGTTGCACGTGTCATTTATGCATTTATTCTGAAATTTTTCCCTCATCTTGTTTGTGACTTGGGCGTTGTGGGCAAGTGTGGCTTTGGATGTCATGGTGCACTTCATCGCAGTGCTCAACATCACTCTGGTGAGTTGGAGAGGATTTTGCTGGAGGGCCCTTCTGTCGATCGAGTTTGGTATTTGGGCAAGCGGTGATGCAAGGATGCGACTAGTTTATAGGGATGGCCGCCCCTAGAGTGCCTGCTACGATACCAGATTGCATGCGAACCACTGACATCTTCACTTATAGGACATCATACTAGCCATAGAGGGCACTAATGTAAAGATCTTCTATGGTGTGGCATCTAATTCCTTCATGACCACGACCTCCCTACTAAGTGAAGGCGGAGAAGCATATATGGCACAGTACAATCCCTCCGTCCCCAATATTATATGATCAATTCACCGTGCATGCACCTTGTGTGAGATAAGAGTGTCTGTTTGTGTGTGACTACTTCACTTTTTTATGAAAAATGCTAACAACTCATCCTTAACTTGTCTAGCTAGTACATGAGTCCCGGTTAACTTTAGAAATACAAAGAAAATCAAAATCCTTACTAATTAGCTTAATATCATTAATAATAGTCGCAATGCTCCAATCAAGGATGCCTTGCCCTTGCAAAGTAGATATCAAAACTTGACTATCTGTACAAATGGAGATGCTTAACAGATGTTGGCCTTTAGCCCAATGAAAAACTTCCCAGCAATGGAGAAGGAAGCTGCATCCTAGAAGCATAATCTTGAACCTGTGATTGATCTATATTGAAAAAAACACATGACACGCCCGCACTTTGATCAGCTGCCCGCCATGAACCATCTATGACAAAAGTCTACACCTAGTAATCTATCACATTAGAGAGAGAATTTGCAAGCATACATATATCATCATTATTATAAACACCAGCAGTAGATGTTGAAGTATTAAAGCCTGCTCTAAACATGGGAATGACCTTCAAGTAACATTAGAGGTGAGCTCTTGAGCAAGAAGATTTGCTTGTAATTGTGTCATATTCATGAGTTTAAACACATAACTATTTCTCTTATGCAAAATGGCCCAAAGAATAGCAATGGGTTGGACAATAATTTCATGATCCCAAACCTTCATCTATTGTTTGAACCATTCCAAAAAAAACATGGGATTTCCTCTAGAAAAATTCAAGCCTAATGAAGAAGCTCGCCAAACCAGTTGAGAATACTGGCATTCAAAGAAACAGTATTCCACAGTCTCAATCCCTTGATCACATCATGGACAACTAGGCTTAGTGGAGACTTCTCTCCCATATAACACCTATCGGACTGAAAAGATACAGGGAAAACACTTCTATAAGAAAAGTGTCCACTTAGGAGGTAGTCTAAGATTCTACAATCACTTTCAAATGGGATCACCAGATTGGTGACGTGTACCCCTACGACCTGAACGCGCTGCATATAAATAAAAAGCCTTAGTGGTGTATTGGCCGGATTTAGTAAAGCCCCAAATAATTTGATCTCGTGAAGGCACCACTAGTAAATGAATAACCCTAATATAATCTATGCACTCCAGTGGAGAGAATACTTGTAGAAGATTGATCCTCCAAGCATGATTTGGAGTATCAATGAAGTGAGATAGATTCAAGCATGTTGGATTATGAATAGTTGAAATCCATTGATCCTCCTAAGAGGATTAATTAACTTACCATCCCTTACCACCCATCTTATCTCCCGTTTTAACAAGTCTCTTCCTCATAAAATTCCTTTCCATCCCCATGAAGCATGCTGTTGACAGTATCGATAAGAAAAGATTGAGACGAACAACATTTCCCTGACAAAACCCTGGAGAATAGGGATTTAGGGTCAATCAAAATCCTCCACACATGTTTGGCTAGAAGTGCTTGATTAAAGACTTAAATATAATTATCCCTTGGTCTACTAATCCTAAACGCCAAAAACATTTGATAATTATAATTAATAGACCGATGAATGACTTGAAACTGAGCTTTTTATTTAGTTTTTGTGAATTATAATATGTTAAATAGTCTTCAGTCTCTAATATAAACATCAATGAACTATTTTTGTATTTTTATTTCTGTATTTCAATTTATATATGCAATTCATGGTTGGGATGCATATTTAATTTAATCTATTGAAAATCAAAATAACATTTCAACTAAATCACAAGAAAAGGGCATGTTTTACAGGACAAATCGGTTCTTTTTATAACTAATGAAAATGATAAAAATATGGACTTCAAAACTTTTAATGAAATAAAAGTGGGAATTTTACTAAATAATTATGCTTATGATAATTAATTTTCACTGAATTAATTTTTTTTAAATTGAAAAATGATAGTCAGTAGTTTAAAGGGGAAATATCATTTTAATGTCAGTGCAAAAAATATTTTCAATTTAGTAATTAAAGTTAATTAAATTTTCTTTTGATATTATAAGGTTTCCACTAAATTAATATTATTTTTTTCCACCTTTTCATTAAAATGGCATTTCCCTTGTTTAGTTGGAGTTGGAGTAATTACTACATAAACTTATGGAAGTTGGAGAGAGCTCAACAATCAATTAAGAATCAACAAATACAGGATCTCAATCTACCTACTGTGTAGAAAAGAACTACTCAAAACACGCCACTTAAAAAAAATAAAAATAAAAATAAAAAATAATAATAATAACAAATAAAAATAAAAAACTCACCCAAAACACGCCGCTTAAAAAAAATTTAAAAAAAAAAAAAAAAAAAAAAAAAACTTTCAATAATTATAATTATTATTATTATAGTAAATGATATTTTTGAAATTATAATGGGGCAATTCCCCCCCTCTGGCTCTAGGTCTCACCCCCTCTTGCTCCGCTGGGTCCATCCATGCTTGCCCACGGTTGCAATGCTCAAAACAAAACCTAGGCCTCGTTTGGGAACCCTTCATTTTAGTCAAAAAGTCAAAAAGTTATTAATCTCCAAGCTCCAATTTGCATATCCAGTATTCTCTCTCTAATAATAAAAATTTCTGGACAAAACAAAACCAAATTATCAGCAAAATCAATGGTATTTAATTGTTGTATCAACCAAAATAACGACAAGTTACAATACAAAAATGGATTATTTGTGGGACCTATATAATTCTCAAACGCATGAAAAATAAAATACCTTTTATCTTTCAGGCAAATTTCTAACATAGTACGATTATGGGTTAATTACATTTTTAGTTCCCAAATATGAGTTAATTGGAATAATTGGGGACCCCATTGACACAATTTAAACATTAAGGACCAAATTGAAACACTTTTATACATTAAGGACCAAATTAACACAATTTAAGTATTGAGGACCAAAATGACACGACACTTTTTGGAGACCAAAAATGTAATTAAGCCTAAAGATTATAGTAGGGCCCTAATCTTGGCAACTTTACCAGAAACCAAAAAAATAATAATAAAAAAAAAAGGGGTGGATGGACAAAATTTAGGAGGGCAACACTATTGCCAAGGCAAAAATTATGTTGACAAAACTGCCATCTAAGTCAATTCTCCTGTTAGGGAAGGTCAACTATGACTATGAAGAAGAATGAAACGAGAAAATGCGATAATAGCCACCCCAAGCAAGTAAAGACTAATTATTTAGATAATAGATTACCTGCAATTGCTGCTGACTAAATAAATGGAGAAACCCAGTTTCAGGCGATGCAACTAGTTCAATTAGCTCATCATGGCTTTCAGGTGGATTGCCCAACTCCATGAGCGAAATAGAAGCCTGTGAATTTAGCAAGAAACAAAAACTAAAAACTACTATTCTTTACTATAGATCCTTTGTTTCTCTTACAAATTTCCTTGAGATTGCGAAGAAAAATATATATTATTTTTTAAAGGAAGAAATTGGCAAAATGGTATAGCGTTACATGGTAAACCAACTAATTTGAAGAAACACAAAAGGACTTCCGGCTTCCAGAAAACAACTTTACCTGCATACATCTAAGAATAACTTCTGGAATGCAACACCTTCGACGAAGGCCCCGCACGATGTATGTAGCTGGGCCTTCCGGAGAACCATCTTTGCTTGAATACCAGGCATCTAATCGTAAGATCTCCATTGTTACACCAGCTTGAAATCGAGCAAGCTCTCCTGCATTCATACATTATATAACCCAGAAGAAAGTTGTTTTAAACAATACACAACAACCTATAACTAGCGGCTCACATCCAGGTTTTGCATTGTGTTTACATCTCCATTTACTAAATACCATAGCCTGTGAATTTAGCAAGAAACAAAAACTAAAAACTACTATTCTTTACTATAGATCCTTTGTTTCTCTTACAAATTTCCTTGAGATTGCAAAGAAAAATATATATTATTTTTAAAAGGAAGAAATTGGCAAAATGGTAGAACGTTACATGGTAAACCAACTAATTTGAAGAAACACAAAGGACTTCTGGCTTCCAGAAAACAACTTTACCTGCATACATCTAAGAATAACTTCTGGAATGCAACACCTTCGACGAAGGCCCCGCACGATGTATGTAGCTGGGCCTTCCGGAGAACCATCTTTGCTTGAATACCAGGCATCTAATCGTAAGATCTCCATTGTTACACCAGCTTGAAATCGAGCAAGCTCTCCTGCATTCATACATTATATAACACAGAAGAAAGTTGTTGTTTTAAACAATACACAACCTATAACTAGCGGCTCACATCCAGGTTTTGCATTGTGTTTACATCTCCATTTACTAATTACCATGTAGGACAGGACATATGATGTCAAACAGCTCCTAGTAATTCCTGTTGGATGCCTTGTATTAGACTTTACCCGATCTGAATATAGAACTGAATTGTATTTCAGCAAATTTAGACAAGGACCTGAAGGTATTGGCCAATTTGTGACAGAAGAGCCAACAATCCAACTGCCAATATGCTTTTTTCAGGCAACGTGCAGAAAGGGCCAAGAAACTTTTGTAGACTTTCAAATTAGCATGTTCCACTATATCTTCCGTCATCCTTTGTATTTTAGTTACTTGTAAATTCTATTCAACACATAAACATGGCATGATATTTTTGGAAACCAAAAAGTATTTAATTAAAGCCACAAGCTTGCAACTCTGCATACATGTCCATATATACATATAACAAGCTTTTATTTTTTCAAGGTGTGTTCGGATGTCCCCTCAAATTTGATTAGTTCTATTGCAATCATGTGGAATCTAAAGTAAAAGTTGATCACCTAAAAAATTGAGCCATCAAGTAAAATAGGAGTCTTCAACCAATTCCAGTTATCAGATTTAAGTTCCAAAATAATGAATTTTGAAAGGATAATGCAGTTACAACCATCCCTTACCTTTAAAGCCAGCAGCAATCACTGTAGCAAGAATACCACCATCATTAAGTGCATGTGGACCAAGTCCATCACCGTCTGTTGCCAAGCAACGAAGAACAACCTCAATGCAGTAATTGTCTGCTGATGAGATAGAGACGCTCACCTTCCCATCAAGGAAAAATGTCAGAGACAAAAGATGTGTGTGTATATATATATAGAGGAGAGAGAGAGACCTAACTTAAAAAGCTTATCTGATGAAAAATAGTTTCGCAGAAGCAAATTTTACATATTACATAATTATATCCTACATCACCTCATCAAACTTTGTAGATTATACAAGACTTAAGTATCAAGTGATTCATAAACAAATCAACAGATATGTAATCGTATTGTTTCAGGAACTGAAAGGTTTAATTTGAGTTGTGGTCAAAGTTTTTAAAGGCAAATGCGTAACTTGAGGTTTTTTTTTTTTTTTTTCCGTTTTTTCTCTCTCGGCACCAGGCTGTCTGGGTCAAGGCCCAACTAATTCCTAGGGGTGCATACGCCCTCGGCAAGGAGTTTTTCACAAGTGGACCATGGTTAATTCAAGGGTTTTCCTAAGAGGTTTCCATCCCTGAACCTTGGAAGGAGCACACCCCCAAGACCCAAGGCCTCGCCAACAAGCCAACCCCTTGGGGTTTAACTCGAGGGGAGGTGAAAGCCTTAAGGGATTGAGGCATAAGCATTCAAAATTTAAATTTTAATATTTAGTTATTAAATCAAATATTTTAAATTACTAAATAAATAAATAAAATTATTAAAATATAAAAGTGTAAATACTTTTCTCCATAAGGCATTAAACATTTCACTGTAGAGAAGGAAATCTGCCTTCATTAAAAGTGAAATTAACATTCTTAGCTTTAGTGATTGAACTTCTCACTTGAACATTAATTGTGTTTTTTCTTGATTGATCATTTCCTCTTATAAAATGTAGTTGCAAAAATGGTTCTTTTTATTTTTTATTTTTATTTTTATTTTTTGCTTTTTTTATGTTCGTTTCATCTACTAGATAAAGTTTAACAATAGCCTAGGGGAACTCTTCATATGCCCTCATATGGCTTATGTGCAAAAAATGTACAAGGCTCACCTAAGGTGCATGCCACAGACTATGATGCGCAACCCTTTGGGAAACATAGTCTAAAAATCAAAGCCTTGATACGTTTTACCTTAGCCTCAAGGCAAGGTGAATATCAAGGCAAGCCTCAGTAAAGCCTTTTAATACATTAGTTGTTGTATGAAACCCAAGAAGTAAGAATACAGACAACACAGCAAGTTCCAAATAATTAGGACACAACCACAGCCGAGTCATGGCTATTATCTATTTAATATGAAATTAAAAACAAATTATTCATTTTTTTACATAGCAAAATTTCTATTTACTATATGAAAATAATAACAAATAGTTCATGTTCTACATATAAATGTTGAAAATAATTAGGAAGAGAACTTAATGTTTTACTTTTAGAAGTCACAATTCACAAACAATTTTGACGTTGTAAAGGCTCAGGGTTCCAAATATTAAAAAATCCAAATGATCGATAAATATATAAATCCAATTATTCTCTGAACTTCTCAAAAAACCTCAGGTTCACACTATATACATCATATTCTATGAAGCGCGGACACTTCATCTGACCTAACATATCAATGTCAAATACGCCTGGGACACAAACATGTTCGAAGACGCGGCAGATACGTGTTGGACACACCCTCTCCTATATCCCATTTTTTTCACTTCTTTTGGTAGTTGGACACACCTCTGACATTCTCCGAACATGCGTGTCCCTTTCTGGAACAATCCTTGGACAAGATGCTGGCCCCCCCCCCAAAAAAAAAATCACTGATTTTATTCATGTAGCCTGCAGGAACCCTAGATCTATGATTCAAAGAAAAAGTAGAACTAATCATATCAGCATAACTATAATTAATGTTAAAAAAAGGAAAAGGCAAAAGAAAAAGAAACATACTTACCTGGGTTCAGCTTCGTCTTCTTCAACACATCTTTACTTTTTTATTAGGATTTGTAATCTTTACATCTCACCAAATGGGCTAGGCTGTAAAAATTTCTTTTTTGTTGGTATGTTGTACACCTGTTATGGGATTTGTTGGGTGTTTTATTCTACATTTCCATCGATCCAATTCATTATGCAAGGCATTGTATTTGGATCTTAGTTGCACAAAGCGGGGGCAGGTGGGAGAGAGCATATAGAAGTTTCTAAGGTTGGGAATGCCTATGGAAGCGTGTATATATATTTCATATATTAAACGTATAAATATATTATAACAATTAATTTTCTACGTAGACATAAAATATGAATAAGAATTTGTGATTGATGTCAATTATAAATTGTTTTTGTCAAGTATGAATACACATATTATATAAATAGAAAGTACTATCATTAGTTTAAGTTGTTTTTCTTTTGTTTCTTTGATATTTGTATGTTTTTCGTTTCTATCTCAGTTGAGAGCCAGTTTCTTCCTTGATGGAAGGGACTTTCTTACTTAGGAGCACAGAAACACGTTTCTCAATAAGAAGCGTCAGCTAAGTAGAAGTTTTTTGCTACTAAGATTTGGATATCATCAAGCCCATCATTTCAAAGGATGATGCGTGGAAAAAAAATATTGCAAACAAAAAATAAATAAATAAACAAATAGTTTATTATTAAATAAAAATATATCCAATAAAAATGAAAAAAAATAAAACTCAATATTAACTTAGTATTTTCGAAATTCATGAATATTGTAATATGTATTGCATATAAAATATATAAAAATGTCTTTTTCACGCGTCCATCGACATGTCGTGCCTCGCTTTTTTTAAGATTGTTGTGTTGGCAAATCCGAATCATGTTGTATATTTGTCACGTGTTGAGTGTCTATGTCCATGCTTCTTTAGATCATAATAGATAGACCTAATCATGGATAAAGAGTAGTGACCTTCGGAAAATAGTGCACCTTAACACATTACCAGACTATCCCACTAAAAATAATGCAATCAAATTTGGCATATAGATCCTTAAGGCACAATAAAGCACAAAAGTGTAAAGCTATCCTCAAATTACCAAAAACTAATACAACATTTCATTTGGCTCCCATCCCTCTGAATCATATGACAGGACAAAAGGAAGCAGCATACCATGAGCTGGCGATTTAAGACAACTTCCTCGCTTATTGAAGAATAAAGGGCACTCAGTAGTGTTGCACACAAGGTGGCATCCGGGCACATACATTCACCAGAAGGCAAACCAAGCATTGCAATGGCATGCAATTCTAGGAACAAAGGTTCTACTGATTCATAAACATGATCTTCAGTGGGAACCAACCATGGATTTTCTTTTCCTAGAAAATAAAATATATCAATTAATTCAAACCTGAAAGCTCTCACAAGTAGAAGAACATAAAATGATGTGACCAAGTCAACAATCCACAATAAAAACTGCACAAATAAACACGGTGGCTAATCCAAAGATCTCTACGTGCAATGTTTGTAGCATATAGGTACATCAACTCACTTAAGAGCAGTGAAAATGATGAATTTAGTGTTTCCTTAGCTGCTGCAATCGCTCTTTGCTTTTCCTCAACTGACAATTCAAGGGGAGAAACTTCCACATTCTCTAACTCAACTTTCAGCCAGTTGTGATAAGTTGCATCACAGGAGTAGTACTCGCTCTAATTTAATGAAACATTGTACAAACTTGCAGTCTTAGAAGTGATAATATATCAAGGCCAAAAGAAAAGCATAAACAACATTGAGTGCAATGAACAAATACAGATCTAAATAAACCATACCCAGTCCTGGAACTCTCTTAGGTTCTCAGAAACATCATGATCCTCAGTAGAAAGAAGAGTTTCAGTTCAGCAAGAAAACTTAGCAATGTGTGTGCACCTATGGGCATTGCGGGCACCCTCCACATGGAAATAAGAGCAAACTCCCTGAACAGTATGTTGCTACAAACAATGAAAGATCAGTATTTAGCAAGCCAACAAGATGAGAACAAGAAAATAGGTAGGTAAGAAAAATAGTAAAGTAATTAGTCAAGCATGTATAAGAATAATGCAAGGAGAGACCACAGTAGCAGACAATGGGAGAAACTAGACAAATTCAAACCACAAATAGATGGTAGAGCTTAATCAAAGGTGTGAGAACCCGAATATAAAAATTAAGTAAATAATTAAATAATAATATTACAATCTCAAATATTTTGGTGGTGAATTCTAAGGTGCAAATTAAATATTATTGGAGGATCCTTTAATTAATTTTTAAACCTAAAATAAATTTATGGTGAAAGTCATTGATTTAGAAGCAAGATTTATTATTAAAAAAGAAAAATAGAGAAGAGGGTGTGACTTGAACTCTAGACCATAAAGTTAATAAGTTAGACTCCTACCATTTGAGTCGCATATAACTTATACATATGTTTTGTATATTTATCTATTTATTTGACCTATGTGTGCCCACCACTAGTATAAAATAAAATAAACACAAACCCTAACCTTGTAGCAAATAACCTCGTGGGTAAATCACGTGCTTCTAAAATCTGAACAACGAACCCAGCAGTGGAATGATACTACAAAATGAGTATCACTCACACAAGTCACAGTACAAAATGGCTTGATCGTTGTTTTCTAGGAGAGAGTCAGAGAGAGAGTCTGGGAAAAAAGGTTATGGGTAAAAACCACATAACGTATATCTGATATACGTATATCTTTAGATTAACCATATAATCTGATATATAACCAATATCTATCTATCCATCTATCCATATCTATTGATATGATAGATATAGATATCCTGAATGGTTATCCAAATAAGTTTTGAATTCAAATTCAAACTTACATGGATAAGGTTCAAAAAGTTCACGTTCAAAGGGTCATGCCACATGGGCACCCAATTTCTAACAAATTTTTAAAAAGAGGTCTGAAAAATGTATGAATTCGAGAAGGTAAAGGAAGGTTGGCAATACTATCATTTGATTCGGTAGAGGCATTAAGGAACATGAGAGAGGCTTTAGGAGACTAGATCAACGAATGGTGTGAAAACGTAGAAGAATGGATGGAAGGTCTTGTGTTTGAACAAGAAAGGGAGGTATGGTTACAATGCTATGGTATAACATTTAATTTATGGAATAATACAAACTTTAGAAAAATTAGGGAATTATGGAGAGAGGTATTAGAGGTTGAAGAAGTTACTATGTCCAAGTCACCCTTAGCATATGGTAAACTTAGAATCTTGACGAAGTCTATGAAGACCATTAACAAGTGTGTTAAGTTGATAAATAAAGGCTTCGTAAGCAAATTCAGGGTGCGTGAAAAGTTATGTTTATGTCAAGAGCAGCAGAGGGAAGATAATTCATCAAATTTCCAATTCAGTGAAGCTCAATGTGCAGAAATGGAAGATGGGAATGAGGAAGATGATGATGACGTGGATGAATCAGAGGATGAAGTAGATGGCAATGATGATGTGGCATATGACCACAACAAATGGACGGGTATGACAAATAAGGGCAGTAGCGGCAGTTCATTTGCTGTGTCAATAGTAAATGAGATGTGCTATAAAGTGGAAGACCTAAGAGTAGCTGGGACAGGTCTGGGAAAAGAGGAAGGCATGTACAAGGCATTGATTCAAAACAATAATAGGGGAAGTAGAAAAGTTACAGGGAGTGGGCCGTCAGTGGGTTTTATAAAGAGCATAAGCAATTCTGATCCACATAGGCCAAGCATTAACTTAAATGTGGTGTTGAACCAGGCCCAGTTCAACAGATTAATTAGAGGTCTGAACCAAAGAAGAATGAAATGGAAACAGGATGAAGCCCAAATCACAAAATATCAATCACCAGCCCAGTTATCCATTGAGGAGATTGTAGGCCCAATGGGATCAAATGAGCAACCGAATCAAGATGAGACAGAAATACAACGTAGAAGAGTAATCAATAGAAACCAAGCACTGATGAGTAGAAGCAGTGGTGAAGATCAGCTAAGTAGTGAGTCAAAAAGGAAAAGAAGAACGGGGCAAAATAAGGCATGGTCAAGGTATGGTTTTCAAAGAGAGGCAATTTTTAGGGAAGTAGCAGTGGCTCTCTCATCATCAGTGTCACAAACTAGAGATCATAACGAAGAAGGAAAGAAAGAGATCAACAGTATTTGCTAAATGAAGCTCAAGCTACAATCCATATTAGAAAAGCTCCGGGTGTGGATTTTGAAGATAAGGAAAGAGAGGTAACAATGAAAATTATCACAATGCAAACAAATGATAGGATTCAAGATTCAAAGAGGACTGAGGAAGTGTGTGCTTAAATGAGCAATTTTGCAGAAGTATGAGTAAAAATATTTTGTAATGAAGATAGTATCTTGGAATATAAGAGGGTTAGATAGGATTAAGAAGAGAAAGAGAATAAAAGAGTTCATAAGGCAAAGAAAGGTTGACATGGTTCTGTTTCAAGAAACAAAATATCAGAAATGTTAGAGTTATTTGTCAAATCACTATGGCCAGAAGAGTTGGTTGGTTTCATGGCAGTGGATGCTGATGGAATTGCTGAAGGATTGCTTTACTTATAGAGGCCTGAGGTGTTTGATCTGAGTGACTGCTGCAGTAACATAAATTGTATCATCCTCTCAGGTAAAATGCATCATTTAATTAAATGTGTAGTTATAAATGTTTATGCACCCAATGATAGGAGTAAGAGACGGAATTTATGAGAAATTTTGGGTAATCTAAAGCCTAAGTTCTCCAAACAATGGTGCATTGGGGGAGATTTTAATAAGGTTAGAACAGTGGCTGAAAGAAAAGGTTGTATTAGGAGGGATGGTGGAATAAATGAGTTCAATGATTTTATAAATACATTGGAGTTAGTGGATGTTCCAATGATTGGGATGAAGTATACGTGGTGCAACTCACAGGAATGGAAGATGTAGAGCAGATTGGATAGACTTTTAGTCAGTCCAGAATGGTTGGAATGATTTAGTTTCAAATTGTGGGGGTCATCTAGGTCATTATCTAACCACTGCCCAATATTATTAATGGAGGATAAGAGAAATTGGGGGCCTAAACCATTTAAATTTCTAAATGCTTGGGTTCTCTACCCCACATTCATGAATAAGGTAAAATCAGTATGGGTTAGTACTCAGGTGGATGGATAGGCTAGGTACAGACTAAAGGTTAAACTGAAATCCTTGAAGGAAGCACTAAAAGTATGGAACAATGAAGTGTTAAAGAGGCAGAGGATGCAATTATTTGTTTTTCTTGGTACCCAGAAAATTATTGGTGTTCATGTTATAATCTGTTTTAAGTGGAACATGTCGTTTATCATGTTCTTGCGAGACATGAGTATTTTAAGTGTTGATTTGTGGAACCTTCTTTTTTAAACAGATTGTATTTACCAAACTGTATGCCAATCTAGTTTCTGTGATATATATCTTATTTTGGAATTGAACCCTGTTTTCAAAACTGTATTTACTATCCATGTTGCTACTCACTGAGCTATCAGCTGACTTAGTTTTTATCACTTCCAGGTGTTAGAAGGACTTAGAGTGGACTCATGGCATAGCGGGGACTCAATTGCATGGACCTCTAGGGCATTCCTTTAGTTTAGAGTGTTATGTCAAGTTTGTGCATATTTATATTTATTCTTATCGAAGTTCATTTAGGATTACTTTTGATATGTGGGTTGTTTATATCCCATAAGTTTGGCTGGTTTTTTTATTACGGTTGATTTTTCCGTTTATAATTGTGACATGTCTGGATTAAGTTTTGGCTATTTATTATTGGACTATTGTTCAGTTGTTCAATGTGATTGGATTCGTGTTTAGGCTTACGTGTGCCTTGGGCTAAGTCCCTGTGGGCCACGGCCGGTCATGCCCGGATTTGGGGTGTGACAAAAGGAACAAGAAAAACATGTTCAGAACCCAGAAGCACCAGCAATAAAGACTATCACAAATGTAATTGCTTCCAATTTTAAATCAAGTAAAGAATAAAAATAAAAATAAAAATCACCAAGTTCTCATTATTCACTGAAAAAGGGCATTTTTTACATGATTTGTGGACATGTATACAAGCATCGAATGTCAATACTGGAAGCAAATGTATGATATGGAAAACCCCACAATTCAAGACACGGGGAAATGGACTCGTATTTGTATTCATCTAAGTTCGATTACCCTTGTACTAAATACACTCCTGTATCTTAGTAGACAGCAGATGGGCAAAGAAAATTTATGACTGGGTGAGGCCAAAGCCAGTTAGCTGGTGTTGGTTCGACCAATTGAAAGTATTAGGAGAAAGTGATTTTGGTAAGTTTGATCCATGTTCCATTTTTTTGAGATCACCATATCCCCGTGTCCATGTTCATGCTTCTTAAGTGCAATTAAGCATATAAAAAACAAATATAGGTATCATTCCGAAGTATTTACAATTCATTTAAAGCTTCAATAATTACTTGAGTACATGCGTATGGAGCACTTGTTTCCAAGTTGAATCTGAGGTTATGTAGAAAAGCCTCTTTTTGAGCATGGTGTTTTATTATTGAACTCAACTTCCAGTTGCACCCAATAAAGCACCAATAGGAGGGGGGGGAAAAAAAAGAATTTCACTCTAATGGACGCATCCTTTGAAGACTCAAGACCTCTAGTGACAGGAAAGGAAAACCATTTTCTTTTACTGTCATGTACACGTGTTCAATTGTTACAAGAAAATGTAGGTTCCACCATAACTATTTTCTTTAGTTTTCCTCAAATCCTTTCCTATAAAAAGCTCTGTTATCAGAATCTTACGATTCGCGATTCGATTC